GTCGTCCCAACAGCTCCGGCTGAAGCTGCTTGCGAGAGGACTCGGGCAGACCACTCATCCGAGCTTCACGCGCCTCCTCGGCATACCTGCCTTCAGCCTCGATCAACTCGTCCGTGAGCAAAAAAGAACTGCTCGTAGTCCGCGAAGCAGGAGTCCAGGACTCCCTTTTCCACACCCGAATCCTCGAGCTCAGCGTAAGCCTCCTCCACTGCGGCCCTTCGAGCATCGACCTGCTCGAACCGCTTCATCAAGTTATGGAACCTATCAAAGCATGGGCGCTTGTGGCCCAGCGTAACTCAGTCCGCAGGCAACGGATTAGTAGCTTTGGCGATGACATCACTACTAAATATAAATTACGACGCGGCTCGAGCACCAATTACAAAAATAACAAATAACAAATACAACAAAAAATTAACAGTTAACAAATGCAGTTCCTATCAAATCGAGTTGAATAGAAATTACACAAACACGAACCACCACTTATCAAACCAAATACAAGTTAGCACAAAAGAGAAAACACAAATCAAATTAACAAATAACAAATACTAGTGCGATCAAATCAAGTTAAATTCAAATTGCGCAAATACAAATTACAATACAAATAAGATACACATCATGGTCGATCAACAAAAATGCCTAGCTCGGAAATCGACCCTTCGATAAGTAATCCACTACAACTATCCGACAACGATAATTAACCGATTACGTGATAATAACCATCTACCTACATGATAGAAAGAAAGAAAGAAAACATTTATTGCTCAAATACGCCACATGTACATTTAAACCATAAACATAAAAAATACATAGATAGTAAAAAGAAAAAAAAAATAAAAAAAAGAAGAATACAAAAAAAAAATATTAAACACATCACACATTTTACGCACACAAGTATGTGTGGCGTACATGGCAAACAGACCGCACTCAGCTTAATGCCGCAGTCGATACGAGACTACAGCGCTGGTTTTCAATGGGCCTGTGAATTAAGTGACGCACGGACGTTCACACCGTCATTGATAGACTAATAATAATTAACATAGATTACATGAATGAACTAACTGGATCTAGTACAAAGAATGTCCGAAAAAATTTTTTTTTAAAAAGTATTGTTATCACCATAAGAGTCATGTATCTATGAGGTATTAGTTGGAAATAATATGAAAGAAGAAACACTAAATGATGGCATCCTACAAAAATATTTTCTCACAGGTATGTAATCATAACCATAATCTTAAGCAACAATATTATCACTAGAAACAATATTTTAATAAAGTCACTAATGATTGCACGTTAAACATATACTTGTATCTTAGTTATAATTAATAGCATGAAAAACGCTTTTATTTCAGCATTTAAGTATCAAAAAATAAAAAATAAAGTACTATGCACTCTTATGCTTTCCGTATGACCCCGCCGGACCTTGCTAAGTGTCTGTAATTATTTAGGTAGGTAAATATCAAGCCATAGCTTTTTGAACAATAATTAGGTGAGTTTTATATTTTATTTTAAATGTATTTAATGTTTTCAGACTACGAAGCGGTGGCGGCAGGTTATTCCAGCATTTAGAGGCAGAATATTTGAAACTTCCACGAAAGGCGATGGTACGATGGTAGGGTACAACCAAAGAGTAACATGACGCGCGAGTGATCTTTGATTGTACGTCGCGAGACCACACTAATTTGTGATAAAGATAAGGTGGTACATTATATTTAATTAATCCAAATAGAAATGTGGCTAGGTGGTGTTCTCGCCTATACTGCATTTTTAAAATATTGTGCTCGTTTATGTACGGCGTGACGTGAGCGCGTGGAGGTATCTTAAAACAAAATCTCACACAAGCATTCTTCACCCTCTGGACAAGTTTCTTGCTATGCACAAGCAGACGAGGGCCATACACTATATCCATATAATTAAATTTAGATAGAATCAAAGAATCGCACAGTCTTATCCGCATATCGGTATTTAGGCAATTTCTAATTTGATATAATACTTTTAACCTATAAAAACATGTTCTTGCAGTGTTTATTATGTGAATTTCAAAGCGTAACTTGTCATCTATCAACAAACCCAAATTACGAGCCTCAGTCACGCGTTCAATTCGTTCGCTCCTTATGGTTACTTTAGCATCATGTTTTGCTATTTTTTGTATTTGCTGAGCCGTACCTAGAATCATATATTTAGACTTGCTTCCATTAAGGACTAATGCGTTCGAATCTGACCAAGCTGCAATTCTTTCGAGATCGTCATTTAATTTTTCCACCGCTAATTTAGTCTCCCCCGGTTTACAAGGTATATATATCTGTGTATCATCCGCGTACATATGGTATTTGCAATGCTTAATACAATTTGTTATATCCGCACAATACACGGCAAACAAAATAGGTCCTAGGATAGATCCCTGCGGAACGCCTTGTTTGACAGCCTGAGCGTTCGAAATGACTGGTAACACATTTTCGTCTGATATTTCTACTTGCTGTATACGATGCTCGAAATAACTTTCGAACCATTTTATCGCAGATATGTCGAAACCGTAGTAATGTAATTTAGACAAAAGCAATGGCACATTAAGACAGTCGAATGCTCTGGAAAAGTCTAGCAAGGCTAAAATCGTTCCTTTGCTACTGTCTATATCTGATAGTATATCGTCGACAACATTTATCATAGCGGTTGACGTACTGTGGTGTTTTCTAAACCCTGACTGAAGACTGGGAAGCACATCGTTAGTTTCTAAGTATATTCTTACCTGCTCAGCCACGACTTTCTCCAGGATTTTTGATACACAGGGGAGTATACTAATCGGGCGTATGTCCTTCATGGTAATAGGATTTGAGTTTTTGGGTATAGGTCTGATGAGTGCGTGCTGCCATTCTGAGGGATATGTTTGCGTTGTAATTGATTTATTAATTATCTCCGTAATAACAGGTATTGTTACGGGAAAAGACATTTTTAACATATCCAAGGAAATACCGTCTGCACCCACCGCATTTGACTTTAATGACTGTGTTATTTTCACAATATCACTTTCCTCAATTGTCTTCAGTTTGAATACATTCGAGACTTTGACGTGTGATTTAAAGAATGTCATATATGAAATAGGAACTTGATTATTTCCTGGCACATTTAAAAAGCTTGTATTAATCGAATCGGGGTCGTTGAAAATATGGTGAGGCAGGTCCGGCTTAGTTTTTAACCTAACGTTTTTTTTATATGTGACCATACGATGCGAGTATCTTTTTGGTTATTTATAAAAAAATTGTAGTAAGCTTTCTTTTCTCTTATTAATGCTTGTGCAACATAGTGTTTGAGCTCTTTATAAAGTAATTTTTGGGCTGCTGTACCACCTGACTTACGTGCGACAACACCTGCTTCATCTCTGACTTTCATCATTTTTTTTATATTATAAGTAATCCAAGGATATTGGAAGTGTTTTAATGATTTTCTACGTACGGGCGCATGAGTGTTAAATAATGTTTTTAACATAGTATTAAACAATGATACCATGTCATTGACGCGATCCAATGTTTTGAAACTTGTCCAATTTAAAGACTTTAAATCTAATAGAAACTGTTCATTATCAATCGCATGCAAATTTCTACGCGATATAATAATTGGTTTTGGTTTCGGTTTTTTTATATTTAATTCGCAGCAAATAAATGCATGACCGCTTAGTTCCGGTATATGATTCACAGAAGTGAATGATTGTTGGATGTCTGTACATACTAGGTCTATTAAAGTTTCACTGTATTCCGTGAAGTGGGTAGGCTCAGTAACACACTGATTTAATTTATAACATTGTAAAAAAATTTTCAACTTCTTACAGTAATTATCCATATCATTTAATAAATTTATATTGAAATCGCCTAATAAAACTACATTATTACACCATGATAATGTTCCGATAGTTTCCGATAAAGCATCGAAAAAAATGTCAACACTCAACCACGGTGGTCTGTAGGCAGTACCAATTATTAATTTTGTACCGTTAATTGTTAGTGCAAGCCACATTTGCTCTACGAGTGGGGCTGGGGGGTGCGGTAGTGTGCGGACTGCAATGCCCTGACGTATGTAGAAGCCCACTCCACCTCCGCGCGAGCGCACGTCGGAAGGGCGAGGAACGTGACGTAATCTATAACCGAGCACCGCAGGCGAGCGCCCCTCTTCGCCCTCTCGCAACCAGGTTTCATTAATCGCTATTATGTCGACAGAATAACGATCCATAGCTACGAGAAATTCGTCATGTCCTGTGCCAAGCGATCCCACATTAAGTAAGCCTAACTTAAGATTATGTTTAGAATTGAATGAATGAGATAATAGTCAAAAATACTATACTTGTGCAGCAACCAAGTGAGAAAAGATACCTACGAAGAGTGCTCTTAAGATTATGATACGCTAATATACTTTTTATGAAGCTCAATGTTTTAAAAATATATATAATGTAATTAATCATCAATAGAGTAGAATTATTATTATTATAACTTAAACATTTTCCCTTAAAATAACTGAGATATATAACTGTTTTAACACGAATTAATGGTTTTAATTGTAAATAATTATAAGTAAACATGAAATTAGTAATTAGAAACTCGGCGCTTACCATCGCACCATCATAGCCATAACAGCTGTAAATGTTTGTATACATAACATTATGAATAATTAAAAATATGGTTATAACAAATCTTAGTAGTAATAATTTTCTTATAATCAATATATTTAGACTTATATCGTTTACCCTATGCAGAGCTGCTAATGCAAACAATATTTGACTGAAAAACACGATTAAAGTCATCGTCTGTGCGGATGCAGTAAACCGGTTTGTCCTCTGCTTGGCGAACGTAGACACGACCCCTTCTTGTCCATGAGTAGCGCCACGAAAGCTTTCGACAGGCTTCACGGACCCTATGGAATAGCTGCCGATTATTCCTCGTCAGGCGCTCATTTACGTAGAGGCGTTGGGGCGAGGAGGCCAGCCCGATGTCCGCAGTAGTGATTGAGCGACGCACGCGAGCAGCGCGCAGCAACTCGTCACGCAGGCTACGCCGCGCCAGCCGTACCACCACGCGGCGCGCTCGTATCGCTATGCCTCCTTCCGTACTAACGCTCAAAGACAGTGGCGCCGCTCCAACACGCTCCGCAAAGACGACGTCCCGTTCTTCCAGTGGTACCCCTAGCCTTACTGCTAGAACAGATATGGTGTGGGTGATATTCTCCCCCTTCTCCTCAGGTAGATGTCCGATCTCAAGATCCGAAAGCAGTGCCTCTTGATCCCGGTCATTGAGCTCCTGCTTTAATAAATTAACTGTTTTCTCTAACTCATTGACCTCCACTTTGGTAGGAGTATGCATTTGCTCGATTACCTCCAGCCTTCGTTCAAAGCCATTCATTCGCTCCGTGAAGCATGCAACGGATGTATGGAGTTCTGCCATTTCCTTACGGAGTTCTCGCATCTCGACCATGCAGGCAACAAGTTGGCGGCTAAGCTCTCGTGCAGGGGAATCATCATCGTTCAAAGCAGTCTTCTGAGTTCCAACGCTGCATGGCGGGCTCCTGATCACTTGAGGTTCTTGCGGGGTGTTTCCGGAGATACCTCTTACAGGGGTACAGCTGTTATCACCCTTTCTTGACTTTTTTTTGCATTCCGGGCACACCTAATCTTTGCTTATCGTTGTTCCATCAGACACCATTAGACATGCCCTATGAAATATATTTGGACATAGTGTACAACCAACGCCACCTGTCGACGAGAGGAATTTGCCGCAAGCCCCGCACTTTGCCATATCGTATTTGTTTTAATTACTAATTAAATGCCGAAAGATGTCGTTAATGTTACTGTTCCTTACTGCTCACCAGATGGTTCTGAGGTACTGCCTACCCTCCACTGAGATTTAATAAAAGGAGACAATATTAATTACACAGTGAAATAAACACAATTTTTTTACACTATTACTTATCCACTGCAATCCACAACGATAACACAGCTCAGTTAAGATATCCGAACCTTAATTTTGACACAAACAAGTGAAATTATACTCAAAAACTATTTTTACGAAGAAAAAATACAACAGCTTAAGTTGACTGTATGCCGTCCGTAACGTCACTCCTATACATGACGTATACCTCTAGAAAAACTCCCGCTTGCGCAACCTAGGGCGCGGCTTTTCAATCTACACACTAACCAAGAAAGGCAAGCAACAAAGCAACAAAAGAAAATAATTTTATTATTACGTACAAAAAAATATTTTTACGTATTACGGACGGGCGTGATTGTAGACACAAAATTAACCCAATCAAACCAACGCTCCCTGCCACCAGAATTGCTTAATTTTTATCAAACACTATGGTCGGGATCGACCGGGGAATCGAACCCGGAACCACGCTCTGCTACCAGAATGTACACGCCCCTAGCTGCCCCAACCAAGGGTAACGGGATTAGGGCCCATGAGTAATTCCATCGACGGGCAGCAGAGGGACGGGGCCAGAATATGGCCACGTGGAATTTCCTAATTACAATAAACAATATGGGAGAAAGCTAGAAACACATAGTACTTACCATTCTCCGAAGCTAACTTCGCACCAAGGCTTGGCCAGGCCGTGAGTGTGTGTAATAGTGGATGGCGAGTAGTGTACAGTGATGTGTGAGTGTGTGGGGCCTTGGCAAGCATAGGCGAGCAGCAACGGCCGAGTTCCAGGCTGCTCCAAAATGTAGTAATCTCCCGAGGAGTCACCCACCGTCACTTTCTTCCTTCTTCCCTATGACAGTCTATATCAAGGGCCGCACGAGCAATTAATATTGTCAAATCACTTATATACGCTATCAAATTAGAATAACCAAATTTGCGGTAAATTAGGAGCGCCTGACACGCAATTCAGACTTTGATCGCAGTCAATGTTAACTTCCTAACAATTTGTCAGCCTGGCGTCGAATTCTAGACTTAACAAAGAAACCTTCGTCGTGGCAACGTTTGCTCACAGAACCGACTCCAAAAATGGAGGTTCCCCGGGCGTCCTTAAACGTGCCCTCGATAGCACACTGTTATAGCAACTGTTCGACTCGACCCCGCCGCCGGTAGGAAAAACCTCTCTCGCGCGAACGTCAAACCGGTACGAATGCACCGCGCCGAGCGCCCCCTGGCGTTAGTTCCTGAAATTAGCGTTTGGCGCGAACAATCATCAAACGTACCGGACTCATCTAACACAAATCATACTCCGAATACACAACAGTCACTAAATTCTCGACAAAAAACAGGACGAGGGAGGAAGACAATGAGAAATGTCGAGGAGAACACATAAAATATATCTTGAATGACACTTCTAACTTACATAATATATTTAATTAAATTACATCATATTATTGAAAAAAGTACCAAACAAAACTACAATATTATGTTAATTTAAAACACATAAATGGGGATATAATAATACCTTTTTTCCTGTGGGTTGCAGGACAGGGTATTTTTTTAATAGGATATGGTGACAAACGAGCACACAGTCCACCTGATGGTAAGTGGTTGCTGTGGCCCATAGACATCTACATCTATGCTCGTTTGCGAACAAAAACACAGATGCGTTGTCACCCGTGAGGACTAAGATGGAATGCCTCTTTTCCAGTAAAAAGGGTCTCCGGTTCTCTACATTCACCATACGAGGCACAGCATCATTAAGCTGCTATTTTACGCTGGTATTCTGTGAGAGCGTGGTCCTTCCCCGGTCGAGCCGACGCATTCGTGCTTCAACTATACTACTTATATAGCTGCAGCATGGCTCTATCATGTAAAAACAACCACGTAAAGGCCCACTTTATCACAGAATACCAGCGTAAAATAGCAGCTCTTTTGCTTTGTAAGTGTAGAGAACCGGAGACCTTCTTTACTGGAAATGAGGCATTCCATGTCAGTCCTCACGGGTGACAACGCATCTGCATTTTGATTGTTTTTGAGGATAGATGTAGATGTCTACGCGTTGCAACAACCACTTACCATCAAGTGGACTGTGTGCACGTTTGTCACATGTAAAAAGGATCTCCGGTTCTCTACACTCACCATACGAAACACAGCAGTGTTAAGCTGTTATTTTACGCGGGTATTATGTTAGAGCGTGGACCTTCCTCGGTCGAGCCGACCCATTCGTGATACAACTATACTACTAATATAGCTGTAGCATGGCTCTACCACGTATGACTACATTTGGTATGTATGTTAACCGCGAGTTGTTCTTAAGGGAAAGATATATACTTTGCAACATTTTTAAAACTTTTCAGGAGGGACAATTCAGCCATACATAGTTCTGGTGTCACTTTACCTGTTGACGCAGCACACGCCGTGGTAGCTCTCAAGAGGCGCGACTTTTTCCGATTTTATTGACGAATATCATCACAGCTTTTAGCCATAATTTGTATACATATATGTCGCATCCAACTAGCTTAATTGGCCTTTCAGTTAACATCTTAGCCGTTTTATAATAGCCCTTGACCCTTCGGCCACCTAATTCACTCCTACCTCATCAACCTTAACATACTGTCGCTGATATTACAATATAGGTGCAATGTTGCATTAGACGCATCGTCTGAATATCATTCATGCCCCTAGTTGAACGGCGCCGTTTAGTAAATAGGCTATGCTGTTAACTGGAAGGTTAATTAAGCTAGTTGGTTGCGACATATTATGCACATAATATGTAGCCTATGTCCATTTGGAGTAATTTACCTTTGAAATGCTGAAAGAATTTTTAATATGTGCAGTGGTTCTTAAGATTACCTTCCACATATACACATTCTATTCATCATTACAGCCCTTCACAAGTCCACTGCTGAACATAGGCCTCCCCCAAGGAATGACGCACGCTCCTGAGCCACCTACGTCCATTGACTTCCTGCATGTCTTACCAGGTCGTCACTCCAACTAGTGGAGGGCCGCCCTTCATGTCGCCTCGGGTATGAAGCTTCTACTCGAGAACTTTTTTCCCATCGGCTGTCAGTTCTTCCAGTTAAATGGACCGCCCATTACTACTTCAGCTTACTGATCCGTTGGGCTTACAAACACTTCTGCACTTGGATATACCACATATATACAAACTCACAAAATTCTAACTTTCTCTTTACAACATTATCGGCGGAACTTCATCCCTTTGTTGTCGATATACGGTTTGCTAGTCTTTTCTCATACGTACAGCAAGGGAGTGGAATAATTTGCCGGCGTCTATCTTTCCGTTCGAATACGATCTGGGCGTCTTCAAGGCAATAATGAATAGGCTTTTGTTACGCTGAGATAGTGCGATTAACCATCTAAAGCTACATCACCACTTACCACCAGGTGGGATTGTGATCAAGCATTGGCTTATAATAAGTAAAAAAAAGAAAATTAGTATACATATAGATGGTATAGATATCAGCTGTCGCTATAAAAGCTTAATAGTTCCATTTATCATTGGGTTTGGCGAGATTATTTGTTTATCATTTACATTTGTCCTATGTTGCCTTTCACGATAAGTAGTTTGTTTACGATAATATTTCTTCGTAAGTACAAGTGCGATAAAAATAAAAACAGGGACGACTGTCGACTAACTTCATTTTGTTCGGTAGGGTTGGCAAATAAATTTCGTTTTAAAATTACGTTCTGCTACAAAAAAAATATTCTTTATAATATATTACGTAGACGACAAATATTAGTAGACGAAAATAACTTATACAATATTCTTTAACAATTGTTTTAACAAGTAATTGTTGCTCATTGAATTTAAATGTTCTACTGGACCCTATAGTGGCGGTGTAAGAATATTCTCTACCTCATATCATCCCGTGGTTGTCGTAACAGGCGACAGAGGGAAAGAAATCAGGAGATGGGCAGCAGCGTCTTCCTTAACTGTTGACCTGCTGAAAAATATAAACAAACTGATATTGCCAAACCGATTATCGAGCGTGGGAACTATGACAAATAACCCAGCTATGAGACAATCTATGGGGGATGCCTATGTTCAGCAATGGACTTTAATAGACTGTAACCGTAACGGTGACGGTTTATGCGTACAGTACATACTACTTCAATGTTTTGAAAGAAACACATTCAGCTGAAAGTAGGTACCACAAAATATCTGCTTGCTATATAGAATACGGCTGTCGCCATTTTTACTCTATACATTTTTGACTCTGTAACTTCTTTCACAACATGAATGAATGAATAAATGAATTATGCTTTAATGTTACACCAATAAACACGAAAATAAAAAAATAAAAACATAAATTGTACAAAGTTATATAACCTAACCCCTTAGCTCTTAAGACCTTTTCGTTTTTTTAACCGACTCAAAAAAGAAGGAGGTACTCAATTCGAGTGTATGTTCTTTTTTTGTA